TAATTGTTGATTACGAAGGTTCGGTACTGTCGCCATGACTTTTGTTTATTTCTTGTTTTTTTTTTATTTTTCTATTATATATATTTTTTATTTAAATTATTATCTATGTAAAAAAATTTAAATATAGTTTTTTTTTTGTGTTATTTTTTTCTTTAAATTATTTCTTCTTTAATATATTTATTTATAGTATTATTTTTTGTTTTATTTTCTATCACTTTGTAATATAGTAAAAATAATTTCAATAAAAAATATTTAACATCAAATAAGCATTATAATATCCAAAAAAATGTGTGTTCCATAATCATGTAAAATGCGAGTTCCATAATCATGTCAAGTAGTACAAAAAACCCAAAATATATCAATTCCTAATCTTATAATAATAAGTATCATTATGCCAAAAATACATGAGAAAGTTCACAATCTAATTATCTTGATCATAGCAAAGTCTAATTTGTCCCCCCTGAAGTTCCATTATCTCCAATACGGTAGCTAGACTCAGATGAACGTCTACCATCAGCGGGTGATTCCTATCCCTAAAAAAAGGTATTAAAATAATAATCTTTAAAATAATACTCATAAAATTTAACTTTAAATGCGTCAAAATAATATACCTGTCTTCCACTAAAATTCTGCATTTGCATTAAGAGTTCAATTTCCTTTGTCCTCGCCTTGTCCCTTTGCGTTAAGAATATGATTGCCTGTGTTAATTCATCAATTTTTGAATTCTTTTCTTTAAGTGCATTAATTTCTTCTTGCATTTCCTTTATTTGTTCACTTTCTGCAGAAGAAGATGTCGATCTCGTAGATCTATTAATTTGAGATGGTGTAACTCCAAGTCCCATACTACAAACATATCCATGCTTTTCTTTTCCAAATACTTTCTGAAATGCCTCATTTTCAAACACAGAATCCTTAATTGCAGCTTGTAATTTTTTCTGCACATGAAAAAGAAAAAATTGAGCTATTGTTTATATAACAAGAATAATATATTGGGGGAGAACCTCTTGATCAAATCATGGACTTCCATATATACGTAAAAAGAAGTTGGCACAAACTAGGAGGTGGCACAAACTATTGCAATTGGACTTGAATAATATTGTTGGTATATAATTTTGACATTTTTGCCATGAATAATAAGAAAGCAGTACATTGAGCAATGGTAAGGATTGTTATTCATTATTATTTTGAGTCTCGATCCCCTGCCCCTCCTCAAAAAAATCCCTTTATAATATGTATTAAGTGTAGTAGTACTGATGCTTTCAACTTGTGCAGGAGGGATTGTTGCTTTGTATTCTCACCTTTGCAAAAATGCAAAAGTTTGTTTGCTTCCTAATCATCAAACATCTGATGAGGAGCTATCTACATATCGCAAGCCTGGTTACTCAAATAGAAATATACCACCCTCATATTTGAAAAAATTCATTGAAAAACATAAGAGCACAAATGAATGAGTTAATATATCAACTAAGACAATAAAAAAGAAGATATGGATACCTTAGGTTTTAGAAAAAGAATATTATGTTCACTATCTATGACTTTTGTCATGTCCTATTACCTACACTATCTCTCCTGTTATACTCCAAACTCCCTGTCTGGTTCATGGATTGTTTCAAAGAAAAAATCATGGTGTATTGGGTAGGTTCTGCTATGTGACATGGAGAATTGTTTACAAGAATTTCAGTAAAGCTTGCTATCCACCATTCTTCAGTATAAACAAAATCACTCTAGGATATTTATTCTGAAATTTCCCACTAAAGTTACCCCACAGTTTTCAATGTTTCAAATATATGTCAAATGCAGCATAAGTGATTTTTCCATTACAACTTACGGTTCTAATCTATGCAGGTATGATGCCTCTTATTTCCTGTGTTCTACTGGTTGGTCTCTTTATTTTGCAACACCGTGGCTCCCACGCGATTGCTTTCATGTTTCCTCCCATAATCATCCTATGGTTACTATCTATTTTCACGATTGGCATTTACAATGTCATCAAGTGGAATCCAAGCATATATCAGGCTCTTTCTCCATATTATATATATAAATTCTTTTGGGTTACAGGAAAAGGTGGTTGGACTAATCTTGGAGGGGTATTTTTGTGTGTAATAGGTCTGTATCTTTTTAAAATTCCATCTCCTACTTGTGTGTCATTTTTACAAATACTTAATGTTTTTTTGCATAACTTCAGGAAGTGAATCTATGTTTACAGACCTTGGGTACTACAAACAAGCATCTGTAAGGGTAGGTGTAGTTAATAAGTATTAAGTAGGATTTCAATTTCGTAGTTTAATGGTGAAGTTTCGTTTATCAATGTGTACCCTACAAATAGATACCCAAGATTGATTAGCATTATTTGGCTGTCGGTTTCTTTTAGGGTAATGAAGGTTTCATTTTGTCACTCACTCAGTTTGTATACCTAGTTATAATATACTTTTCAGATCTGGACATGTTAGATGTGTCTTTTACATGTGAAAGAATTAAATTGTGGTATGAAACCATTAAAGATATAATCCACCTTCATCCATGATCTAGGCATATAATCGTGATTCCTCAGTTCAAACAGAATGCCTAGTGTTTATTTTATTTTTAAAATGATCGTTTTAACTTTTAGTATTGTATCCTTGTTACCATGCAGGCTTCATTTTCTTGTATCATTTACCCATGTCTAATTCTTCAGTACATGGGGCAGGTTGCTTTTCTTTCAAAGAATTTATGCTTCTATTCTAGGTCAGCTAATATAAATTCTAAGAATAAATTTCTGATAGGTCATGTTGTTAATTTCTGAAAGAAACGTAACAATGTTGTGTGTGAATTTGAAGTATTAGCTTTCGATTCCCTGTACCCCATTTGATTATTATGAACTGATGCCAGTATCAAACCCTATTACATTCAAGTTCTGGCAATGCTCAGCCAATTTATGTGGCTGAGATTTGATAGAAAATTTTAACTTTTGACGTTTTCTTATTATCTAATAGGATTTTTCCAGTGGTGAGTTATATTTGGGATGGTTCTATTACTATTACCGTTTTTTCCCCAGTATTTCAAAATAATTAACTTGTACTTACATTATTGTTGTATGCATCTTCATTGATAAATGACCCGTTAGGCTTTTTATGAGAAACTGCATACATTTCTCCTCTGCTGTATGTTCGTCCATCTCTCATTTCCTGCAAGTAAAAACTAATATAAATTGTTTGTACTATCAAGCAAACGATCAACAACATATAGATTTAGACATACCAACTCATGTTTCTTCCTTGCAAGCGACTTAGATCCGAGTGTATGCGGAGCCTTCAATTTTTCTCTATTTTGGGAATTTTTTTGGGATATTTTCTACATTTGTAACAAATAAAAACATGCATTATAGATAGGGATAACATACAAACCAGAGAAATCTAACAAATAAAAACACTAATGTTACCTGTGTTTTTTCTTTCCGCCTATATTGAACATAAACAGCCCAGTCATTTTCAGGAATGCCTCTGCATTTTGGATAATTTTGAAGATTTTCCTCCAAAGGGAGATCCCATCTATAAAATTCGTGAAACAATGTATGTCGGGCATCCTTCCATTTCCTTGCAGCAGAAGCAAGTACAAAATCTTTGTCACGCCCATCATCCACAAGAAAATGGCGCTAAACATAAAAATATATTAGTTGACAAAGGAAATAATAATCACCATGAAGTTAATTTAAAAAATATGTAATTGTTTATTAATAATACCTTTATCTTTGATTCATAAAACTTTGTTTTTCTATCTGCTGGAACATTCTTCCAACTCTCAAACATTATGGGAATATCTCTAAACATTCTAATAATTATACCCAAATATCCTGCTAGCAAACCAGAAGCCGGTCCTACTGCACAATCATTCTTATTGAATTCAAGTATTATCCATGTTCCATCAGGCTCTGATTTCGCAACCAAGTCTTTCACACATAAACGTGTGTTTGAAATATTACCTTCCTCGTCTATCACATTAAAAAAGTAAACAAATTAATTTCATAACTCAACTATGTAAAAAATTTAAATTATTTATAGATACTTTAACCTTAAATTACTTACTAATGACATTTACATCCCAATACTCAGATTTATCCACTTTAACAACATCTCCAGTCCCATCTCCTACCACAACATCTTCAGCCTCATCTCCTACCACAACATCTTCAGCCTCATCTCCTAATACAACATCTTCAGCCTCATCTCCTACCACATCATCTTCAGCCTCATCTCCTACCACAACATCTTCAGCCTCATCTCCTAATACAACATCTCCAGTCCCATCTCCTACCACAACATCATCAGCCTCATCTCCTACCATGTCATCTTCATCCTCATCTTCTACCACAACATCTTTTGCAATTTGGATTGACGGAGGGGTTATTGTAGTTTCCTTTGGTGGAAGGGTTATTGTAGTTTCCATTGGTGGAGGGGTTATTGATGATTTGTGAGTTGTAATTGAACGTAGGCGCTTCTTATTTACTTCAAGCTCTCCAGGTTGTACAAACCTTGAACGGCCCTTCACAGACTAAATAAAATACATTAGTGAATATTAGTAAATAATAAGTACAATTAATTTGTATGGAGTAGTATAGAGAATTTATGACTGACCAGTGATGGTTTGGAAGAAGACTCTGATGATTTGTGAAGGGATTGAGAGAGTGTAGGAAGATTGAGAGCCGCTAACTTTTTCTTATTCTCTGCAATTATTTTGAGGCGACTATTCTCATATGGTGTAGTCATTGTCTCACAAAAGGCTTCAACTGCAAGTATAGGTATTAAGTACACTAAAAGTAGTAAACATCAAAATTATATATTAGTGAATACAAATTTAATAAACATAACATAAACACAATAAATTAAAAACATAGAGTAACAATGTCATCTAACATATTAATTAGGGATAAGCAACAAAGAACATAGAGTAACAATGGAATATCATACATTAAGTCTCACACAAGTTACAAACAAACTAGATTCTTATCAATAAAAAACTATATGTTAACTATTGTCATCATTTGTCGCTGAAGTTCCAAGATCATCATTTGAAAAGATTTGTTCCAAATTTTGTGATGGATATGGCTCAATGGGTGTCATAATTTCATCATTTCCACCCATGTCATACAAGTCTCTTGGCTTCAAATGAACAGGTATGCTCCATCCTTGTTCACTCTCATCATCTACATAAAAAACCATATGAGCTTCAGATGCTTGAATATATGGCTCATTATCTTCATGTTCACTAGTATGTAGTAGTCTTGCAAAGTTTATAGAGGTAAAACCCAACTTATCTATCTTAATTCCTCTTGGGTTTATGGTATTAGCCCATTCACATTTAAACATGGGCACTGTGAAGCCATCATAGGAAAGCACAATAATATCTATTAATCTTCCATAGTAAGGGACCCCTCCAAATCTCATTTGGGTATCACTATTGCTTGAATAACTTCGTGTCCCAAACATGCCAAAAACTCCACTATTTTGAGTTTTTAAAATATTGTCTCGTTCCAACGTTCGAAACTTGAATCCATTGACATTGAACGCGGTAAATATTTTAACTTTATCAAAAGGTCCATGAGCAAGACTAATGAGAACATCTTTATCTGGCCTATGAATGTTGTCAAGATTGTTGCGAATCTATACATGATACAACATTCAATTAGTCTTGTTATTATTAAAAACCAATTCAATAAAACATCTATTTTTGTATGAAAACTCACACGATTGCTGAACCAATGCGCAAACTCCTTATGAACCTTCTTGTCTATCTCAGTAGCACTTCTTTGACTGCGCCTCATTTGGTTTTGAGTAAAACTTCGGAACTGCCTATTTGATTATTCGATATTAGATGTAAAAAAATATTAATAGTATAGATGAAACTACTTAAATGTAATAAAACTACATACTTTAGATAGTCGTCAACTATTGGACAGTTTGTTAAAACGTGTCTATGAGCCTGCAATTTTTCAGTTGGTGTTAGGGTGTAATAAGAAGATCCACCCACAGGTTTTCCAACTCTAGGAAATAATTCAGCTACACGTGAAGCAGTTTGGATATCATCAATAGGGTCATCATCTACACGTCCAGGTTGATTCCATCTAGTCTCAATATTTTCTAGATATCTTGAACAAAATGTAAGAATCTCTTCAAAACGGTATCCTTCTGCAATAGACCCTTCTGGTTTTGCCTTATTACGTACATACGATTTAAGTTTTCCCAAGTACCTATCATTGAACCACAATAACACTAGTTAAAAAAACTTTCTACTTTCTAATTAAGTTAGTAACATTAGAACAAAATCACATAGTTTACCTTTCAACAGGATACATCCATCGATAATGAACAGGACCTCCAAGTTTAACTTCTTCAACAAGGTGAACAACCAAGTGGACCATAATCGTGAAGAACGAGGGAGGAAATAACATTTCCATATGGCATAAAGTGAGGACAATTTGGTTTTGCAATTTTTCCATGTCTTCAATTTTCAATACCTTGGCACATAATTGTCTAAAGAATGAGCACAACTCAATCAATATTGCTGAAACCTCATGAGGTAATGTTGTGCGAATGGCTAATGGTAAAAGTTGTTCCATTAATATATGACAATCATGACTCTTCATCATTCCATTCACCTTGAGATTTACTAAGTCAATGCATCTAGAAATGTTGCTTGAATAACCATCAGGCACCCTAATATTCTTTAAAGTCATTAAAAAATTCCTTTTATTTTTACCTGTTAAACTAAAGGCAGCCGGAGAAATTTTACCATTTTCATCAGGCCAAAGATCAGGTCTTATGCCCATATTTTGAAGGTCTTCTCGAGCTTTATAATGGTCTTTACTCTTTTGCCTATCATTCAGTAGAGTAAATAGGACATTATCGCACACATTTTTCTCAATATGCATCGGATCAAGATTATGGCGTAGAAGATTATCTTTCCAATACGGAAGTTCAAAAAATATGCTTTTCTTTTTCCATTGTTGAGGATGACCTTTTGTAGGATCACATTGTGTACTATCACCTTCTATAGGTTGTTCCTCACGTGTTCTTTTTACTGATTTTTCTTTCACTGCCTTTTTACCAAAGATGACTTCAACATCTTTAACCTTTTCAAAAACTTCATGTCCAGATAATGTTCTCGGTGGACTCCGCATTTCTTGTTCACCATTAAAGCGGATCTTGTTCAATCTAAACCTGTGTCTCCGATCAAGGAAATGACGATGACCCATAAAACACCATTTACGACTAGCTTTAAGATGGAGAGGTGTAGTTTGAAAGTTACACGATGGGCAAGCAAGTCCTGTGTATGTGTTCCACCCAGAAAGTGAACCCAACCCTGGAAAGTCACTAATAGTCCACATCAATTTTGCATGCAACTTGAACATCTCTTTCTTGAAAGAATCGTATGTATCCACACCACTTGTCCATAACTCCTTCAGGTCTTTGATTAATGGTTGTAAGTAGACATCAATATTATTTCCTGGCGCCTCTTTACCGGGAATTATCATTGACATTATAAATGATGTCTGCTTCATGCAAACCCATGGAGGAGTGTTATATGGTATGAGAACAACTGGCCAAATACTATTGTTTGTACTCATCACACCAAAAGGATTAAAACCATCACTAGCCAATGCAAGACGCACATTCCGTGGATCTGATGAAAACCAAGTATGTGTCAATTCAAATTTCTTCCAAGCTTCTGAATCTCTAGGATGCCTCAACATTCCATCATTGTTAGTATCTGTTGCATGCCATCTCATATCCTCTGCCGTTTTTGATGACAAAAATAATCTCTGTAATCGAGGTTTTAATGGAAAATAACGAAGAACCTTGGCAGGAATTTTCTTTTTTTTCTTGTTAACAGAGACATCCTCATTTGTTTTCCATTTTGAAGTGTTGCAATTTTTGCAAGTCTCCCTCTCCTCATCTTCTCCCCAATAAAGCATACAACCGTTTGGACATGCGGGTATCTTTACATAATTCAAACCAAGTTTTGTGATTGATTTCTTGGCTTCATAGAATGAACTTGGAATGTTTGCATATTCAAATGCATCTTTTATTAACTCTAAAATCATTGTCATTTCCTTCTCACTCAATCCACATAAACACTTTATATGGTACAACTTAACCAAAAAAGATAGTCTTGAATATCGTCTACACCCTTCATATAAAGGTTGTTCTCCTTCTCTAGCCAACTCATAATACTCCTTGGCTTCGTTTCTTTCCTGAGTTGAGCTTGGCATCACATAATCTTCTTGTTCAATCTCCAAATTTGACGCAGATGGTATTTCATTTGCATGATTCCCATAAACTCCAAATGCATCGTTGATCATGTTCTGAATAGGTTCTTCGACAATGTTAGTATCTTCTACCATACTTGGAGTAGTACTAGGGGAGATAGTACTAGATCGTACAAAAGACTCTCCGTGATGGATCCACATGGTATATCCCTGCGGAAATGGTGACCAACTTAAGTGGTCGAACATGTCACTCCTACTCTTTAATTTTCTGAAACCGCAACGTTTGCAAGGACATATTACTACGTCGTTTTCTTTTGCACCTTTAAATGCAAAATCAATAAATTCTTGTGTCCTTTTTTGATACGCAATCGATGATTGTGGCTTAATAATCCATGACTTATCCATTTCTTCAAAAAAAAATTTATATTTTCAGAATTCTAGTACTTACGAGAACATGTTATTTTGAATATAAACAATAGAAAAATAAAAGAGATGAGTTTTATTATTGGTTGTTTAATTTGTTTTTACACACTACATAACAAGTTTATAGGTGAAGCCATGTGATATCAATTAGTATAATACAGTTTCATGTAACAGACATATATGGATAAATACTTCATATCAATATGTTTACTACATTTAGCTAGGTACTTCAAGAATATTTACTTATGTTGTGTCAGTGTGCGAGTGCGACCTTAATATTGCTTTGTACTAGGATTTTAAAGTGCTTTTGCGGTCCCGTATGAATGCGATTGCAAACATTGCAATTTTGGTTATTACAATTGCTTATAAGAATAATGTATTTGTAAAGGCACACTCAAATTTAAGATAAAATTCTTATAAGATAAAATTCTTTAGTCTAACACTATTAAACAGTGATATAGTAAAGGCACACTCAAATTTAAGAATGAAATCATACCTCAAAGACGCACGAGGGTTTGAAGAGCAGCGAAGCAAGTGGAAGAGAAAAGTTACCTGCAACAAAAACCAAAGCAGCATATCAATAGTTGGTAGAAATCATAGATTTATCAAATAGAAATCTTATATTTTTCAACAGCTCATATCCCTTTAAATCCAACAAAAACATTATTATTTACATTCTAGTCCAGAAGACACTTCATGTTTCAGATGCATGAAAATGTGTCATCAAGATTTAGAATTAAAATTTAAAAACTATGTATTTGGAGAATCATATAAGCACCATTTGTCATATTTCCAGAATCATTTTTAGATAAAAATGGAAAGCTGTTAAAAACCATTTTTCCAGTATGTTTCCTACTTAATTCATTCTTACATGTCTCATTAATAGTTGCCCACGTTGCTCATTAATTAGTTTGACTCACGTGCCTAAATTAAACAATGTAATTACCCTTTTCATTTTACCCGAAAATAAAAAATAAAAGAATATTCTACTAGAGATTTTAAGTTTGGTGTTAGCTACATCTTTTAATACAACAAGATGATAAAAAATATTCTAAAACATCCTCTATGGCCTTACTTTTAACCTCATCCAAATAAGTAATATCTATTGTTTTTTAATTCTATTGAATCAACACTCTCTCAATCCTTTTGGTCTCTTTGTTTCTCATGAGTATATAAATAACCCAAACCTCCAAATATCTTCTTCATTCAAACTTCAAAACTCACATAAAACATATATTACACACAGTAGGCATATATACAAAATTCCAAGTGTAATACACAGTAGGCATATATTACACACAGTAGGATTAAAATATATATTACACACAGTAGGCATAAAATATATATTACACACAGTAGGCATATATTACACACACTCTTCTCTTTCAAAACCAAAACCAAAACCAAAATCTTCTATACTTCCCTCAAAATTCCTACTGTAATAAAAGTTAAATCATGCGAAGGTCATATAACTCTTTTCCCCTTACAAAACATAATGATCAATTACAGGTCATAAAAGTTGTAGAACAATTAGGAGAAATAACAGGAAACAAGAGAGCAATATTTAACCTTCTCTTTAACACCGTCAACAATAGCCCATGTGTATTTCTCCTCTTGCTTCAATTTTTCTTCCTTCAGAGCTTTCTTCTCCTGCATAAAGGGTTAAGACAGAGTCAACAATTTAAAGATAGATGACATGAATTATGGAAGGTTCAACTGGTACAAGGAAAGAAGATAAGAATTCTCAAAAGAATTCAGAGTATGCAATAAACTGACTGATTCTAGAAAGCCACTCTCCAATTACAACTGAGTTCAAAAACTAACACTCCCTTCCCTCCAATTACTATTTATTATTCTGTTTTACTAATAGAATCAGTTATTCATCTGTTACAACTGTAACTACTATGTATATTCTGTTTTACTTACTGAATTAGTTACTCATTTGTTACAACTGTAATAATTAGAGTTACAAGCTTAATTCCCACTTTTTCCCTTCCTAACATACACCTTTCTAACAGCTGGTCTACTAACAAATTATGGTTCTTGTGTCCTTTTTTATTTTTTTCACAGATATATAGTACAAGCATTACAAACACTGATTTCCATATCTTTTAAAGTAGCAGCTTACTGATTATGATGTTGAAATATAGGGAAACATTACAGCAACCAAAATCAGCATTGATATATATATATATATATATATATATATATATATATATATATATATATATATATATATATATATATATATATATATATATATATATATATATATATATATATATATATATATATAATAATTTACAACTAACTAATCTCAGCAATATATGAGCTAAATAAATCAATATGTCCTAGTAGTTGGCAGCAGATGTATTCAAAATCATAGCAAAACACAGAAACAGCCTTGTAATTATTAACGAAAGGGTCGTAACCAAATGCATATGTTAGTGTTCCATGATCTTGTGGAATTTCTAAAGACGGTAGTTTCTTTAGTTTTCTAATGGAAGGGTTCCAGAGAACAACATGAGAATTATTGTCTAAACAAATGAGACCATCACATGATGCAATTATATCATCACAGTAGTCTGGATCAATCGGAGAACAAACGAGTTGTGTGGCGTTTGTGGTGAAAAGTAAAAAGTGGTATTGATGGTAAGAACCCCTAAGGCTGTACTATTCAATTAAACATCACATATATGCATTTGAAATGAAAATTAACGGAGTTTACATGTAGTGGATATGCAAAATCAATAGCATCCAGTTTACATATGTTGCATTAATTACTCTATTCAACTTTAATCATTATATTCAACATTCACACGTTTACCTATTACACTATACGGTACATTAATGCTTTTCGGTTTCTTATAGGATTTTCGTTTTCAATATAATTTGCATCGATTCGAGTCTGTTTTCTTATCTTGTTTCAGCAACACCTCCAATAAGTTCAGATTCTTATTGAAAACTTTTTATGTGATGTGAACAAGCTGGCCAGAAAGTTAATCTTTAAAAGTTAGCAAGGAAAGTCTATACGTATCCCTTTGTTCCACTCAGAAGTTAGCAAGAGTACCTTTAACTACATCATTTAAAGAGTTCAAAAGAGGTTGCAAGGTTGCAAGGATGGGAGAGCTACTCTTATTCAGGCTGTGACTACTGCCCTTCCTTACTATGTTATGCAAACTACTTTACTGCCTGCTCATACTTGTACCCTGCTGCCCTCAATCAGTTTTGAACACTGATTCGAAACTCTTTCAGCTACAACACAAAAGTTTCGTACCCAAGAAGTACAGCTTTTCAGAAGCAAGACAGTTAGAACTCTAAGGCTTTGCTTTTCTGGCAAACTCTACCAAAGTAAGCATGCTTATTGGATTTATGCCGAGTCACTGATTATTGATGAATTTTAATGAAATGAAGTTTTTATTTTATGTATGAGAAACTACAGTTTCTGTATTTAGCTTGTGAAAATGCTGTTAATTTTGGGGGGTGTAAGACTATTTTATTTAATAATTTTGTATGTATTTGTTAAATATTAAATGTAGGAAGGACTTCGATGCAGATAGAGAAATAGAGTTAGAAAAGCATGAAAAATGTCGTAAATCTGTGGAGTCAAATCACGAGGAAGATGAACCAGAAGCGAAGTAAGATTCTGAGATTCTTTTAATCCCTACCCCGACCATAAAATAAAGGCAAACTGATTGTGTTCATTTATATTTTTCACAGCTATCCTAAAGGCTTACTTATAGCCTTCAAACTGAAGAGCATTTCTGAGGAAGTTCCTTCAGAAAAGAATAGCACTGATGAACAAGCCAATGGAAATAATGGTGCCGCCAAGACAGATGAACAAAATCCCTCTGAAGTTGTTGCTGCTACTGAGGATAGTGATCAAAAGATGTCAGAAAATGATGCCAATGATAAAGAAAACAATGGCGTGAATGAAGAAAAAGATGCTGAAGGTAAAGAAAAGGAACAAGAAAACAAGGAGGTGAAAGAAGAGAAAGCGGAAGTTGAAGAAAAGGGCCTGTTAGAGTTGTATAAGAAAAGCGACAATGGTGTGAATGAAGGAAAGGCCACTGAAGGTGAAAAAAAGGATCAGGAAACTGAAAAACGTTCAGTTGCTTCATTACTAATATATGCATTTCATTTAAGAATCAATACTTCATTACTAATTCAGTACTCCAGTACTTCATTACTGATAAACCATTGTTTAAGAAAATAGGCAATTTTTTTGATTTCACCAATTTATATTAGTTTTCATCGATTCTAATTGGTCCAACGACATATTTAATCTAATAATCAAATCAAACCCTAAAACAACAAATTAGAAAACCTAAAAAATCATAAAAAGAAATAAAACCCTAAAACAACAAATTAGAAAACCTAACATCAATTCAATATATTCAAACTCAAAATCAATCATCACAAAGAGCTCAACCATAAGATTCAAGTGAATCTCCAATGCTGAAATCAATGGCAGAGAATGAGAGAGATGAGAACAATGCAAAAAGTGATACATAAAACTTACTGTGTTTGAAGAGATGAATGCAGAGGATGTTAAACTGCTTGCTGTGCGTTTTTTGGTGTGAAGATGAGCGGTTTGAAGAGATTCCTTTCGGTGTCAAGGGGTTTCTTTCTGTGTGAAGAAGAACGGCATGAACGGAACCGTGAGTAGAAAAAGTGAACGCAGGAGTAGAAAGTGAATTGATGTTTTATGTATTTTAAGAGCTTTTTAACTTTTTTACGGCGACGGGTGTTTTACCGTGTGCCCATGAGAATTTTTAAAGGTTTTGGGTGCGACGGTTGTTTTACCGTCGTGAAATGAATTTTAGGACGAATAATTTTACGGTCGTGAAAGGTTTAAGGGTGCGACGGGTGCTTTACCATCGTGATATGCCTTTTAGGACGGTTAATTTTGCCGTCGTGACTAGTTGTTGGTGAAAAATCAATGTTAAAAGTGTTAAATGGGGGCCGACGGTTGTTTTACC